AGTAGGTACCTGGGTGTTAGTCACTTTACACCTGCTGTCCCTGTTCGCCTAGCAGTAAGTAGGTACCTGGATGTTAGTCACTTTACACCTGCTGTCCCTGTTCGCCTAGCAGTAAGTAGGTACCTGGGTGTTAGTCGACTGGTGTGGGTCGCATCCTCGGGACAAAATTAACTTAATTTGCCCGAAATGCTCATCATAATAAGTAGATTTCTATACAGCAGTATGTCATTGACGTCAGCTAGGCCTGTAGGCTTGTAGAAATAAAGATTATTATTATTATTATTATAATTATTTATTTTCTTCCTTCTAAGTTTTCGTCTGTAACTCGAGAAGGCCTCACCCGATCGGCTTCAAATTTTCAACGCTAATTTGTCTAGGAAAAAGGTTGATGTAACATATGGTATGGGCAGGCGCCCTCTGGTCAGTTTTATACACACTATTCTCCGATTCGGTCTGTGTGTGATAGGCTTTCAACTGTCAACACTGGAGAGAGAGAGAGAGAGAGAGAGAGAGAGAGAGAGAGAGAGAGAGAGAGAGAGAGAGAGAGAGAGAGAGAGAGAGAGAGAGAGAGAGAGAGAGAGAGAGGTTGCAAGAGGGGTTGCAAGATCCTGTACGAGGCACAAGTACGCTCGCACCTTGAGTATGCTCCACTTTCTTGGTTTGCCTGCCCCCCCCCTCTCATCTGCGACTGCTTGACAGAGTAGAGAACAGAGCAAGACGTCTCATCTCTCGCCTGGACCCATCCTGGATAGATCTGTCATTTCAGCAGAGCCTTCAACATAGGAGGGATGTGGGTGGCCTTACTGTTATGTACAAGGCCAATATTGTCAAAATACCACACTTGGATCCACTTCGAGGACAGCGTGAAACAAGCTTTTATGCCACAAGACGGGCAGAAAGCAGCAACTTCACTCTGGCTGTACCCTTCTCCAGAACATCACTCCATCTGAGATCATACATACCCAGGATGACTCGAGTATGGAACACTTTCGTACAGCATAATGATGTCAACGAGATAAAGTCAGTTGATCAAATGAAAATGCTGGCCCACAGATGGCTCCAACTTCATCCTGTTTCCTACTTGTATGTCTCATAACAATAAAAATGCTTTCAAATGAGCTGATGTAGGTAACAGCTCTTAGCTTGCCAATAAAGTTAGGAATCCTTAACCTGTGAATAGCTGTCAATAAAGCTAGGGATCCTTAACCTTGTCAAACCCTGTGTAAAAAAAAAAAAAAAAGAGAGAGAGAATAATGATGAAGGCTTGCCCATCCTGAAGAGAGTAAATCAGTAATGGTCAGTTAGTGGTTGTTAGTATTGTGCTTGGCACACTTATCTCGCCACTAATAACATCTCTCACAGCTGTTCTCTGACTCACAATTACTGTGATATGATGACTCATTACTCACAGGTGGCTAGTACGTACGAGTACACACACACACACGAACTGTGAATCGACTCCAGAAACCACAAATAGGTGAGTACACACACACACACACACATAGCTTTAAGAAGAGGTATGACAAAGCTCATGGAGCAGGGAGTGGACCTAGTACTGACCAGCAAAGAGGCGGCACTAGGAGCTGTGAATCGACCCCTGCAACCACAAGTAGGAGAGTACATACACGCACACACTGATCCTGTTTCCCCAGAATTAAATATATATATAAATATATACACCTTGGGAACGTCGTGCTAAAACGAACGTTCTACTGAAAGATAGTTTCCACACAGCCTGCCACGTGTCTATTTTTCCACAAGCGGCACTTTTTTCATGAGTTATGTTAGCTTTACAAAGGCTAACTTATATTAAATTAAATTACGCTAGGTTAAATTAGCGTATCTACGAGAGTTAGCTACCAATAAATAACATAAATGGGTGACCTACGTCTGGCAACGTCTCCCTAAAGTGTTTGTATCCCAACGTTACTCGACTCACTAAATCGTAATGACACGATTGCAAACAAACCATACCACGGGTGGGGATAGAACTCGCGGGTTCTATCCCCGCCCGTGGTATAGTTTATCCCAACGTTCTATATATAAGTTGGAGGACGTGAAGAGTCTATGTGTTAGTCCACTGTTGTGGCTGGTAAATGAGGCAGCTCTGAGAAGTGAGATGAGATAGGAAAGCAGCTCTTAACTTGTAAATGAGATGAGATATAATAAAAAGCTCTTAGGATGCAAATGAGCTAATGGCATAACAGCTCTTAATTTTTAAGTAACCTGACACAATAACATGACGTAGGAAAACAGCTCTTAGTCTGCACTTTCAACTACGGTACGTAGCTATTAACCTGTGTATTTAACTACTGTAGGTAGCTCTTAGCCTGTAAATTCGACTACGGTACCTGCTTCTTAGCCTGTAAATTCGACTACGGTACCTACTTCTTAGCCTGTAAATTCCACTACGTTACCCACTTCTTAACCTGAAAATTCAACTACGGTACCTACCTCTTAGCCTGTAAATTCAACTACGGTACCTCTTAACCTGTAAATTCAACTACGGTACCCACTTCTTAACCTGTAAATTCAACTACGGTACCTACCTCTTAACCTGTAAATTCAACTACAACACGTACCTCTTCGCCTGTAACTTTCGACTGTGGTACATACCTCTTCGCTTATAAATTCAATTACGGCGTGTAAAAAAACAAACACTCAACATAAACTCACGAGAGACAAACACGCAAACGAGGACATAATTTTTGCAGCCATTTAGCGCCTCGATTCACCTAAATTACGCGTCTCAGAGGTCGTGAAGGAGGCGAGGCCATGACTATTGAGGACCAACACAACTTTAATACCGTCCCACGCCTCAAAGTACCCACCTCACCACTTACGATAATAATAATAATAATAATAATAATAATAATAATAATAATAATAATAATAATTAAAATGCGTAACACGGGTCTGAAATTGTCGTACCCCAAAGACCATTGCCGGCCAAAGACTCCAAAACAGGACTCTTACATGGTCTTAGGATGTTAATAAGTCATATATTTGGCTGTTTGCTGATTTACCAGTGCCAACTCGGGAGCAAGGTGGCACTTGTTCACTTGCAACATCTTTATTGATAGAGCCAACCAGTGGCTTTATCAGTACAGGCAACCCCAAGCCTGAGGGACTGATCACCTCATCTTTTGTATATAGTTCTACTGTCTTCCAATTACGTCCTTGAATTTGTATTGATAAAGCCACTGGATGGCGAAACGTCTACAATAACGATACCCAGATGTTACACGTGTCAAATTTTCCACTTGTCGGTATTGTATACCATTCATGTACGACAACTAACACCCTCCAGCCCTCTAATAACAAAAAAATAATAATTATCACACCATCGTAAATGTAATTGTATGAGGGGACAGTGTATTTACACCAAGATGTATATATTTCGTAGTATATTCACCGATATACGTATATACAACGAGATGTGTACATTTATAAAACGAGAGATGTTTATCTCGGTAAATACACACTGAAGAGTCAATCTTTCGAAATAAGTATTGGTGGCTGACAGTCAGATCTGGTGTCATGTTATGTAAACACGTGAGCAAAAAACACTAGGACACTATGAAAACATTTCGGTCTTGGGACCTTGGTTAGAAATGATCAAGGTCCCAGGACCGAAACGTTTTCGAATAAGTATATCCTAGTGTTTGCTCACGCGTCTTTTTTAAACTATGCAAATCTGCATATATATAAACAGGACTCATGGCGAATATAAAATTATAATTTTTAAATGGGTTTCAAATATAGTGGAACCGGCTTTAGAATTGTTGATTATAATATATTATATATATATATATATATATATATATATATATATATATATATATATATGTGTGTGTGGTGTAAAAAAAACACAGGGGGAGTTGAATAACTCTAGGCCTTTCGTGCTACAATCTTTATCTTTAGCTTGCAAAGTTGCAGAAATGAGTAAGAAATCTTAGATTCGTTCCAAGAGACGCTTGCTATGCAAGCTCCTGATGATGTGTTGACTGCAACACAACTTCTGTGGGTTTTTTTTTTTTTTGCATTTTGTCACACTTGTTAGAGATTCCTACATAATATATATATATATATATATATATATATATATATATATATATATATATATATATATATATATATATATATTATATATATAATGTCGTGCCGAATATGTAAAACTGGTCAGTTAGGAAGAACTCATTTAAAATTAAGTCATTTCTGAAATTTTCTCTTATACGTTTAAAGATATATTTTTTTCATTAATGTTAATGTAAAAAATTTTAATTTTGCACCAAAAGAATCTTAGAAAACTTACCTAACCTTATTATAACAAGATCAATTTATTTTAGCCTAACCCAACTAAATATATTTTAAATACGTTTACAATAATTTAGTACTAAATAAAACAATCAAATATATTTTTTTCGTTAGGTTCAGAATGATTTTGGCGAAATTATTGCATACACAAATTTTCACTTGTCCTATACGGCAAGATGAGCGTTGCTATTTAAGCCAAGATCGCAAGTTCTGTCTATTCGGCACGACATATATATATATATATAATATATATATATATATATATATATATATATATATATATATATATATATATATATATATATATAATTATATATATATATATAATTTATTTATTTATTTATACATATATATATGCAAAACAACCACTGTGAAAGCGCTTGGAATTTCACTATCCTTTCACAGTGGTTATTTTTGCATATTCTGATAACACCTGTTTACTGTAATCTTATTGCATATATATGTGTGTGTGTGTGTGTGTGTGTGTGTGTGTGTGTGTGTGTGTGTGTGTGTGTGTGTGTGTGTGTGTGTGTGTGTTGCGTTTGTGTTGCGACCAGCGGAAGGAGGATCAAGCCTCCACAGCTTCGTACATTTACAGCAAGTATCGTGTTGACGAGCGTATAATCACTCAGGATCCAACATAAACATTATAAAACAGCAATATGGTAAGAGGGAGGACTCACTGCGCTTCTGAGAAAGGGCGTGCAGGATGGCGGTGATCACGTCGTTCTGTTGGTCGCGCCGCTGTCGTAATTTGTCTCTCTTCTTCAGCTCCCGCACCAGCAGGGAGCACTGGCTCGACAAAGACCCCTGCAGCGACCCCACCAATATCAGCAGCTCATCCAAGCCTGTGTAGAACACCATACTAGTACACTACTCTGCTTAACACATATTGTGGCATACAAAGAGTATGTTACAATTTATTCGGCGTATGTCACACTCCCATATAGGCTGCCTCCCAATCAGCGAACCAGGTGCTAAGGGTTTAACAATCAATAGGGAACCCGTCGTTAAATCAGTACCTTGGTTCATTGACCAATCACAGGCAAGCCCGCCAAAGCTAAAGCAACGTGGTTCACTTGCGGAAAGCATTGGCAGACTTGCCTACCTGCTGGTTGAGTACGGTGCACTCTGGTTTCTGCTTTGCCATCTGTCACTGTCGTGTACGCTTATTATTATTCAAGCTGTACATAGTGTATATATTTGTATATAGTGGGTGAAGGCAAAATATACATTATAGTCTGCTGCCTAGTTTGTTTGCTCCAATTCCCATTACGACTAGGTCTCACAGGTCATTCTTTACCTGTGTTCGTAATACATATCAAACTTATGCTGTATACATACGTGTGTATGTATACAGGTGCTTGGAAGGTGGGAAGTACACGCCGAAGGCGGAGGCTGGGGATAATACAGTCCGGAGGGGCATGTGAAATGTAGTGTGGACGCGCCTATGACAAGACGGAGGTGGAATGAATGATGATGAAAGTGTTACTTTTTTTTCGGGCCACCCTACCTCGGGGGAGACGACCGATGCTAATATATATATATTTACAGTAAGCATTATATACACTAGTCTCCTTGCAATACACATACACACATGAGCTACGCGATACGACATTCCAACATATACACGTATACGTATACACCCAAAATTAAAGGAATAACTTAACATACAAAAAATGGAGACACCCCCTCCACATACCACATTGCAATATACAAACTCTATACAAGGAGCAGACTCCCCCCCCCCCAGCCATAACTAGGCGAGTCCACATTAGTCAGCGATGAATTCAATGTTAATTAACAGCATTTACAAAGTCCTGAGCCTCATGGTGGGAGGCCTTTTCCAGTAATTACCTTTCGATTAATATAATATAAACTCACATACCAGTGTAATAAATCTGGCGGTAATTATGCCATTCCGTTTCGCAGCTTACGTACAGATTGTCTACGTAAACTGGACGACGTTTATGTCCGTCCTAGATGCTTTGGTCCGTCCTATATGACGTTTCGGTCCGTTTTACTCCAAGTCAGACCGAAACGTCATCTACTTTTCCTTAGTGTATTTTGTGTATTAGAGACCACACAGACACTCCTGTATACACAAAATACACTAAGGAAAACTAGAGGATGTTTCGGTCTGACATGGACTAGAACGGACCGAAGCGTCATACAGGACGGACCAAAGCATCTAGGATGGACAGAAACGTCATGCAGGACGGACCAAAGCATCTAGGATGGACAGAAACGCCATACAGGACGGACCAAAGTATCTACAACGGGTCGAAACATCATACAAGACGGACCAAAGCATCTAGGACGGACAGAAACGTCATACAGGACGGACCAAAGCATCTAGGACGGACAGAAACGTCATACAGAACGGACCAAAGCATCTAGGACGGACAGAAACGTCATCCATCTCATCCTGGATCAGCCTACATTAAGCGAGTGTTGCTGAGTACAAGTGAAGCTGAGTTCGGTCACGATGTCAGCCTGGTTGTCGCTAGGCTAGTGCAAGTATGCGTTCTATGGCATAGAATGACTCCGCAGTTTATATTATTGTTTATACGTAGTTAGATTATATTACATCTAAATTTCCCTTCCCTGCTACTCTCCTGTCTCGTGCATAAAATTTCTGTATCCCCTTCCAGACGTACTCCTGTAAACCCTTTTGGGGCCTAGTTCCTAGGCCTTTTGTGTATCCATATGCTCTTGCACTACCGTCCACAGGATGGATATCGGGTGCACAATAAACTAGCCACTTCGGAGGCAAAATCTGTTGCCCCTTCCCCTAAAATGATGGCGAAATCTTCGTAAAAATTCCACTTATCCCGTGATTAGGATAGGCCATCCTGAGTGGTGGTAATTACCAGGTAATACCAACTCCAGCTCTGTTGGTACCAAACTTCTGAAACTCCCTTAGCTAATGAACCTTTAACAGAATATTTGACGATATCCTCGTTGCCCTACCGAAGTCTCCCAACTCAGGCCGCCACATTTCCACACCTTGTATGAGCATCATCCTGCGTGATGGACTATGAGATATATATATAGTTAGCCTTTTGTTTCCACTCTCTGACTATCATTGGGAATTCAGTAGCAGCACACTGCTAATGTGTCCAATTAAAAAATCGGGATTAGCTATTATTATAATCCATGTTAAGCGCTAAACCCGTAGGGGTCATGCGACTCCTGAGGAAATGGGAGGCAATCAAGTTTGATCTAAGAAAGCAAAGAACAGGTTTAACTCCTAGAATCAAGAGCCTCTAACTGACATCAAGGAATGTAACTAAGGAACTAATTAAAAAATATATTGTTACATTGATGAACACTTAAGAAACATTATATCTAATATAGAAACCGAGAGAGTTGACGGTTATATAAATCTTCACCAGATGTACACTAGGTACATCTCCACCTTCAGTGTACACATACCTGGAGTTTACCTGGAGAGGGTTTCGGGTGTCAATGCCCCCGCGTCTCGGTCTGAGACCACCATGAGGCCTGATCTCAGACCGAGTCGCGGGGGCGTTGACCCCCGAAACCCTCTCCAGGTTTGTGTACACTGAAGGTGGAGCGCCCTAAGCACAGACACTTCACCCCCTGTAACAAGAATTAGCAATCTGCGTGAGAGGAAATGAAACTTAAGATCCTGATAACCGCAGATAGTGAGGCCAGGGACGGCAGATAGTGAGGCCAGGGACGGCAGATAGTGAGGCCAGGGACGGCAGATAGTGAGGCCAGGGACGGCGGAGAGCTGCATCACGGCCACATATCCAAGAATATGCCCTTCTCTCTATATATACACAATACTGTTTTTCTTCACAAACAGCATTGAGAGACTGCTGGACATGAATGCAGGGCAAAGAGGTAACCTACATTCCCTGGAAACTTAAAAGCAATCCTGGCAGACTGTTCTGCTCCAATAACTACAAATAGGTCATCGCAAACGTGTAATCTCACGCGCGCACACACATATATAACAGCAACCTCAATAGAATACTAACGAGGGAATGCAAAAAAGTGTCAGCAAATGTTCTATGTTGCCACCTAACAGATTATCCAGACAGCAACAGAGAAAAACAAAGTGGCTTAAAATACATTAACCTTGGTTCACACGGGACTTGCCCAGAGTGAGACATTCCCAGACTCTGGGTGATAGCTGGAACTCCCTCACTCAGAGAGAAACATGATTAACGTTCTTCATTGAGAGACCAGGCTGCCTCAGTGACAAATGACCTGACTTCTTTACTCGTGACAGACATGACCTTATTTCCTCACTCATGACACATAACCTGACTCCCTCACTCAGTGACAGACATTACTTGGCTTTCTCAACGACAGTAACACCAAAGTAAAGAGGCAATCGGTCCTTAAGGGACACGTCGTTCCATCAACGTGGTGCACTAAAACGACGTTCTTACACCGACCAGCCAACCACCAGGGAAAGAATAAGTGGTAAACAAACGTACTAGGGAGGGTCCTTAAGATAATTTTTTTTTAGGTAGAGAGGGGACGGGCAGGAATAATGTGGATAGCAACTTGATGTAGGTGAGGGTCATTTATTCCAAGGAACTGAAGCCACCTTCCCTGCCCAAGGTGTTGTATAAATAATAATAATAATAATAATAATAATAATAATAATAATACATTATCATTCGTGCTGCAGCATCCTGTTTACGTGAAGTGTCAGGTGTGAGCACCAGACGCGTTGTACCTGGCTCTCCTCACCCCCGTAGCTCGGTTGGTAGAGCACCCAGCTCACACACTGAGGTCCGTGGTTCGATCCCCAGTCCGGGTGGAAACATTAGGACACGTTTCATTAGGACACCTGCTGTCCCTGTTCACCTAGCAGTTAGTAGGTACCTGGGTATTAGACGACTGGTGTGGGTCGCATCCTGGGGACAAAATTGACCTAATTTGCCAGAAATGTTCTTCATAAAGGGCTTTCTATATAGTGTGTCACTGATGTCAGCTATAGTCTGTATACGATGTACTTGTAGAAATAAAGATTATTATTATTATTATTATTATTATTATTATTATTATTACTATTCAACAAACCGGCCATATCCAACCCAGGCAGGGTGACCTAAAAAGAAAAACGAAAGGTTCTTCTAAAATTTAGTAATTTATACAGGAAAAAGGGTCACTAGGCCCTTGCTTCCGGCATTTTAGTCGCCTCTTACGACACGCATGGCTTACGGATGAAGACTTCTGTTACACTTTTCCATGGAGGTAAGAGGAAATAAAGAAGAACAAGAACTATTAAGAAAATAGAAGAAAACCCAGATGGGTACATATATATATGCGGGCACATGCATGGGTAGTGTGACCTAAGTGTAAGTAGAAGTAGCAAGATATATCTGTTATCCCGCGTGTTTATGAGAGAAAAAGAGACACCAGCAATCCTACCATCATGCAAAACTTACAGGTTCCCCTTTCAATTACTTTTATTATTATTATAATACGCGCATTGTTTCCAATGACATAAAAGTCGAGTAATCTGGCTTAAATCAACCAGCATTAACATTGTGATGAATGGTTTGAAAAACCGACAAGTTGAAGATTGAGACACTTATGCAACATATGTTGCGTGTCTCAATCTTCAGCATTAACATTGTAGGTTTGAGAGTTCAGAAACTGACTCGCATAAACAGGTAAAAATAATTAACGGGGGTAATGTGAAGATGGGTTGGAGTGGGAGCCAAGTGTAGCACCCAGCTACACTTACTCACTGGAGAAGCCAGATATAGATACACCTCTACTGGTCACGTAATGTATGATAATGTAAACATCTTATCAGGCTTTCATACGCATTTTAAAGTGAAAAAAGGCTATGTTT